GAGTACAGAGGCAGCATACGCATCAAGTTCTATGTGGTAAGTAGCAATGTCATAGTCAGATTCACTAACAGAGGGAGTTTGTTGAGGAACAGAGCATTCCTCTTCTATTGCAGCACATAATTTTGATTCTTTAAACACTAAACTAACTGGGCCACATGGAATTACATTACTAGTACTGAATTGTTCCAAATCAGGACGAACAGAGCATTCTACTTCTTTTACATAGGGAGTTTCTTGATGAACCACAGGAACAGAGCATTCTTCTTGCATTGCAGCAGGCGGCAATTGGGTCGCATTTGATTCTTTTGCAAGTAAACTGTTTAACTCATGATCACATCGAATCTCAGTTTCTTGACATTGTGATGAACAATTGCCAAGAAAATTCCCTGAATTGACTTTCCTCGTAATGCGACATACAACAAATTCCTCTTCAAGTTGTTTGTGGTAAGTAGCAATGTCATAATCAGGAAAAACAGAGCCTTCTTCTTCTTTTGCAGCAGCCACATTTGATTCTTTTAAGACTAAACTAACTAGGCCACATGGAATTATATTATTTGTATGAGCAGAATCAATTTCATCTTCTTGTTGCTGCGGAATGTAAGGAACCGTTGATTCGAGTACAGAGGCAGCATAGGCATCAAGTTGTTTGTGGTAATTAGCAATGTCATTATCAGAGCATTCTACAGAGGGAGTTTGTTGATGAACAGAGCATTCCTCTTCTATTGCAGCACACAGTTTTGATTCTTTGAACACTAAACTAACTGGAGCAATGTTCCCATTCAAAATACTGTTTGACTCATGAGATGGAATTACATTAGCAGTACTTAATTGTCCAAAATCTAAATTTTCTTGAAACTGACTCTGAGCAGAAACAGCACCGAATTGTCCCAAATCTTGAAATTGATTCTGAGCAAAAATATCTTGACATTGCGATGAAGAAATCAGTAGAGAATCAACAAAATTCTCTACTTTGTGATCCGAAACCTGCGAAGAATTGACGCTCCTCGTAATGCGACATACAACAAATTCCTCTTCAAGCCACGTAATCTCAAGGCCTTGAGTATTTTATCACAAAGACGATATTCTTTCATAATCCACACATGATTTTTTTCCTCAAAACGGAAAGTTTTCTTGAACCCAATCACTGTTTTCTTCTTGTCGTAAACTGGTCTACTATTGTCAATTCCTTTCCATGAGCCGCCACCACCCACAATTCCCCTGTTGAAGTTCTTACCGTTCCCTGTTTTTTTCTTCTTTAACTGAGTAAAAACATGATATTCAGTAGCAGTAGTAGTATCGAATATCTGAGAGGGTTTATTGTTGCCATACAAGTCAACAAATTGAAATTGAACAGAGTTACCACTCACAAATTTGACAAGAGAGATCATGAGTTGTTCATCATCAAAATTCATCCCCATATTTTACCAGAAAAATGAATGGATTAACACCCCAATTTGCCCTTTGCTATGCTTTGTATAGAGAGACAAACCGTGTTTTTTAGGATTGGAATCCATTTTTAGAAACTCACACATAATTTTTAGTTTGTGACCGTTGACGAAAAACATCTCTTTTCTTGTTTGTTTTTTTTTTTGGTTTTTGTTACTGAAAGGTTTGATGACATAAATAATTTATTTTCCATTTGTATAAATAAAAATATTGTCTTTGAGAACAAATAAAAGAATTGGCTAATTAACTGTAAAAGAGTCCAATTAAATTAAATTTGGGTTAATGATATTTTTAGACAAAAAGAAAAAAGGAGCGATGAATTTGACATGTTGTACAGTAACTACGCTCATACTCGTGTTGAGTGTTTTGCAAAATATAAAATTTATAGAAGACCTACTATATTGGCTATTGTTTCTTTATTAGAAGGAATAAGAAGCAAAATGTCATATTTCGATTCAGTGCGGGAATCTGAGTACAAAATTATGTGGTAGTCTATGTATGAGATTATCTAGATACATCATCTTTCAATTGAAATTGAATTGAAGCATCAAATATACAATAAATTGTGTGATATGTGATAATCATATTTTTTTAGTGTATCATGAAAAAATTATACATATTGAGGTTAATTAAAATTTATTCATGAGAAGAACTAGGATAACTTTTCACTGGTTATATGAAGACGGGAGAGCAACTGATAGCATTGCTCACAAAAGCTTTAAATGAAACTCGAGTTGAGTATCTTTGCAACAAATTAGGCATGATCAATATCTTTGATCCAATTGGAGGAAGAGTGTTAAAAAAATGAATGCAATTATTATATTCCTTGTAATATACATTGACACCATATATCATAACATAATCTCTAAAAATTTCTATCATTTGAATTAATTACAACAATCAATTTTTCCCTCCTCTCTTTTTTAAACCAGTTAACTGACTAATTTTATTGTTACTATAGTATAGTAAGTAAAATTTAATTATCTTAATGCATCAAATAAAAGTTAAATAATTTGACTATTATAATGAAGAAAGTTTAAGTTGGAAACAAGGATATAAATAATATGTACTCCATGTTTTAAGACAGTGTCCTTTGTATTAACATATCGATTTTATCTATTAAACAATAAAATTATAAAGGGTGAAATTACTATAGAAGGCGAGATATCATTGCTAAGAATTTTCAAGACGCCACTATGAAGTATGAATTTGAGTAAGCCGGCTTAATTAACATTATGGATTAATTTAACTTTAATCTAATTCTATACATGTGTCTTTGTACTAATCATGATTTATAAATATATTTACTGTATCACCTTAATTTATGGCTTAACCTTTATAAATTAATGTGATTTTGATGCAAACCTTTGATTTTTCGATTAAAAATAAATTTCTTTTGTACGGATCATATATTTTTTTAATATTCGCCTTTCACAAATTATTGTGTTAATTCTAATGATCCACAAGTGATAATTTTGTACATTTATTCACTAAGCATTGTCAATGCCAACATTTAAGAAGCTAATATATAAGATTGAAATAAGTTATTTTTGAGATGTCAAATAAAGTTCTCATCAGGAAAGTAAATAAGTGTTATATTCTTTTTTGCTTAACTAAGACATTATAAGACGTATGTATTCTTTTTCTTCATTATACTTTTTTCCATTAGATTTTATCTTGAAATATTTTAACCAGACACATTATCTATTGACATCTAAGGCATAGTGTTACAATTCGTTTGAACTTGAATGTCCATATGTAACTTCTCTTGCCTATACACACCAATTCTTGATAATTCAAGTATAAATTAAATGGAGTCTTTAATTAAATCGTAATTTCTCAATGTATCTTTAAATAATAATTGACATAAGTATCCCTCTCTATATAAATTAAATGAAGTCTTTAATTAAATCGTGATTTCTCAATATATCCTCAAGTAGTAATAGATAAAAATACCCTTTTCCCCTCCTCAACCTCTCCACTAAATCACTGGACTTGCAAAAAATAAAGATGGCCCATGCAGGTCTCGAACCTGCAACCTTCGCGTTATTAGCACAACGCTCTAACCAACTGAGCTAATGGGTCTCAATATTGATTTGCAGCTAACCATTAATTTCATTTTTTCCAAACAGTGCAGTTTTCTTTTCATTTACAAGGAAATAGTTTCATTAATAAAATAAGGGAAAATGCTCAAATATGCCATTAAATTTTAAGAAAAGGTTCATTTATGCCATCAGTTTAAAAGTTTGGTTCATTTATGTCATTACCGCTAAAAAGGCTCATTCATGCCATTATTTTTTAACAATGATTTTGCAAAATCATTTTTGACACGTGACCAATTATAATTCGGTCACGTTATCAATTTTTAAATTAAAAAAATCAAAAAAAATATTCAATTTTGATTCAAATTTTTGTTTTTTATTTAAAAAATTGATGACGTGACTGAATTACAATTGCCCACGTGTCAATAATGGTTTTGTAAAACTATTATTAAAAAATAATGACATGAATGAACCTTTTCTTGAATGGTAATGGCATAAATGAGCCAGACTTTTAATGAATGACATTAATGAGCCATTTCTGAAAGATCAATGGCATATTTTTGAATTTTTTTCCAAGAAATAATTATTAACCACAAAATAATGGACTGGACTGGTGTAGAAATAAAAGTGATAGTGCATCGACACAAAAATAAAATTGGGCAAACAAAATTGTAAGACTGGAGCTGCATCAACTATCACCAACTCTTAACTCCAAAGATGTGTAAAACCAATAAAAATATTTTATTGAATCAACTCCATCTTCTCTTGTGGTCACGGAATGTAAGGAATTAGTGATAATCATGTAGCTTTAGTGTATCATGAAAAAAAATTAAACATATTGAGGTTAACTATCATTTTATTGGTGAGAAGATTTAAGATAATTTTTTACTGGTTATGTGAAGACGGAAGAGCAACTGATAGCATTGCTCGCAAAAGCTTTAAATGAAACTCGAGTTGAGTATCTTTGCAACAAATTGGGCATGATCAATATATATATATTCCCAGTTAGAGGTGGAGTTTTAAAAAAAATGAATATAGTTATATTCCTTGTAAAATACATTGACACGATATAAGATAACATAATCTCTAAAAAGTTTCTATTATATGAGTCCATTTTTCCCTCCTCTCTTCTTAGCATCTAGATACATCACTACACCTCTATCAGATCTATTATAACTTTGTTTGTGTACCATGTATGTTGATAGATTATGGAAATAATCTATTTATTGTACAATATCTTTTGGTAAATATTCTAATTAGTTGTCATCTTTTATATTTAGCAATTATCTTTGTAATTGATTATTATCTATGTAATTGATAATAATCTCCGTAATTATCTCTTGCCTAAAATTAGGCTTGTACACTTTTGTATATATTGATTATTCAGTGAATGAGAATGACACGGCAAACATTCTTTCATGGTATCAGAAGTCTAGGTTACTTTTCTGACCTAATTCTCTCTTCCGCTTTTTCTTCTTCTCTAATCTTCTTCTTCTCACACGGCTATCCACCATGGCCGAATCTCAGAAAATTCATCCCGCTACTCTTGTCACTAATATCAAGACCCACGTACCTGTTGTTCTTAAATATGACGGTTCCCAATACAACAACTGGTCTACTTTGTTCAAACTCCATTGTCGTGCTTATATGGTGATTGATCATATTACTCCGATTGCTACGGAATCCGATGCTGATAAAGAGAAACCGGCTCCGAATTCTTCTGATGCAGCTCTTTGGCACCGACTTGATGATATTGTTCGATAGTGGATTTATGGTACTATTTCTAACAATCTCTTAAATTCCATTATTGATGCTGATGATAAGGCAATTGATACATGGAATCGTTTAGAAAATTTTTTCCACAACAACAAGTCTGCTCGGGCACTTAACCTTGATGCGCAGTTTACTAACACCAAACTCGAACAATTTGATGGTGTTAAACCTTATTGCACTCGTCTCAAAACCCTTGCTGACAGTTTACGAAACGTGGGTAATAAGGTATCCGACAATCGGATGGTGCTTCAACTTTTGAAAGGGCTTTCGGAGGAGTATAAGCCTTTTCGTACATCTGTTCGACATATAAGTCCCTTGCCTTCCTTTGATACTCTACGTTCCATGCTTCAACTAGAGGAACAAAGTAACTCTTCGGACCTTGCAATTGAAGCTCGCGAGGAGGCTCTTCTCACCGCCTCTTCCACGGCGTCACACACTTCTAGTGATCATTCTTCATCTTCTAAAGGGGGGAATTCACGAGGTAAAGCCAAGGGTAAAGGGAAAGGCAGCAGCGGCAAGGGCAAAGGTGGTGCCGGTCGGAACAACCAGCAGCAACAACAATCTTCGCAGCAGCAGCAACCGCGCCAAGGTGGCGCCTCCTCCCAACAGCAACAGCAGCAGGGCATGGGGTGGATGTTTCCCCCATGGCCGTACTGGGGCAATGGCCCTTGGGCAACCCCACCTTGTCCGTACCCAGCCCAGGGTCCGGGCCCAAACCCGTGGACAGGGGCAAGGCCGTACCAGCCTCCTTCTCACGGCATCCTCGGGTCTCGACCTAATCAAGCGTACTTCTCAAGCACTCATCTTCTTATCCGGGTTATGTTCCTACCAACATTGAACAAGCTATGGACACAATGTCTCTCACCGATCCAAATTACTATATGGATACCGGGGCAACCTCTCACATGACGAATTCCCAAGGTAACTTATCTCCATATTTTAATTTGAGTAATCATGTTAATAATGCTATTACTGTTGGCAATGGTAGTAAAATACCTATTAAAGGTTATGGTCACGAATGTCTAAACCAAAACACTCTTCAACTCAAAAATGTCCTTCATGTCCCAAAAATTATTAAAAACCTAATATCAGTTAGAAAATTCACCACTGACAATCATGTTTCTGTTGAATTTGATCCGTTTGGGTTTTCTGTGAAGGATTTGCAGACGGAGAGCAAAATAGTGAGGTGTAATAGCAGTGGCGATCTCTATCTTTTTCTCACTGATCGTCAAATCATTTCATCTACCACCCCTTCAGCTTTTGCAGTTGTCTCTCCTAGTTTATGGCATTCCCGTTTAGGTCATCCGGGACATGCAATTCTTAGTAGTCTGCGTAGTAGTAATCTTATCAAATGTAATAAGGCTTCAAACGATATTTTTCATTCTTTCCCATTGGGAAAATTAATAAAAACGCCTTTTACAGATTCTTTATCTCATACTACTATGCCTTTTGACATTATTCACAGTGATTTATGGACATCTCCGATTCTTAGCTCACTTGGTCATAAGTATTATGTTCTCTTTCTTGATAATTACACGAATTTTTTATGGACGTTTCCTATTTCTTCTAAATCTCAAGTCTATAATCTTTTTATTCGTGTCTGAACTTATATTCGAACTCAATTTGAGAGAGAAATTAAAGCTTTCCAATGTGATAACGGCCGTGAATTTGAAAATGATCCCTTTAAGCAATTTTGTCAAAAATATGGAATGCATTTTAGATTCTCATGTCCATACACCTCTCCTCAAAATGGCAAATCGGAACGAAAAATTAAAACGATTAACAATGTTGTTCGTACGCTCCTTTGTCATGCTTCTATGCCTCCTTCTTTTTGGCATCATGCACTTGAAATGGCTACATACCTTCACAATATCATGCCCACAAAAATACTTGGTGATAAATCACCTACTCAGATCTTATATCAAAAAACTCCGGATTATTCACATCTACGTGTCTTTGGGTGTTTATGTTATCCTTTGATTCCTTCTTCCAAGATAAATAAACTCCAATCCCGGTCTACTCCATGTGTCTTTCTTGGATATCCATCCAATCATAGGGGGTATAAGTGTTTTGATATGTCGAGTCGTCGTATTATAATAGCCAAGCATGTGTGGTTTGATGAGTCGGTTTTTCCATTCTCTAAGGTGCACATGTAACGATTCAAAAAAATAAAATTTATATAAATAAGAATAAATAAGTATTTAAGGGCGTAATTGTCCTTTCACGTTTTAAATGAATAAATAAATCAAAAACAGATTTGTATTTATTTATTTTAAATGTTATTTGACTAATTCTTGAATTAGTCTCCTAATCCAAATAGTCCTCTCTCTCTCACGTTCTCCATCTTCCTCACATTATTTCTGCCAAAATATCAACAGTTTTCATGCGTGAAAAACTCACAAAAAATTTTAAGTAAAAGAAAAAGTAATCAAAACGTCAAGGCTAAGAGAGGTTCGTCGAGAGAGGTGTACGTTGAAGTGAATTGGGAGTGGTTTAGAGGAGTTTTTCGGGCAGCAACATCAAAGTTTGAACATCGATTAAGGTATGGGTTTTCTTCTCTCTTGGCTCCTTTCCCAAGAGGCTCCTTACGATTCAAACTATTCATCTCGAAACTAAGGTTGTTCCCCGTTTGCATGCCCCTGTCACTAGTTCCCTATGATCCTAGGTTGGGTATTCTTGTTGGTAGAATTTAGGGATACTTGTTTGTGGTGATGACATCGTTTCGAATATGTGTTTATGGCTATGTGGTTATATTTTGTGTCCTTTGGGAATATGTATGTATTTGTGTAAGATTGTGATTATGATTTTGAGTTATTCTTAAACATGCTAATAGCATAAAGGTTATTCGTGTTTTGTGTGCAATTAGAGGCTCTTAAAATCGTATATTCACATGGTTGAAAGACTATAAATGTTAGTAAAATAAATGATCAAATCATCTCCCTAAACTTATCTTAAGAACATTAACGCATGTATAAGAAACAAATGCTAAATTAACCCGTAAAAATGATGTACAAAATTGTGGAGTAATGTCCCAGAACCTGGAAATATGTTGTAGATGCATTCTGGAAATTTTGAGCAAAAAAAGAATTTAAAAAAATAGGTGAGGTCTGCAGGGATCGAACCCGAGACCTCACCAAAACATGCCTTAATAAAATAAATAAAGAGGAGTGCTAGGCGGGGCTCGAAATGGGGGCTGGGACCGGCGAAATTCGCCAAGAAAAGAAATTATAAGGGGGCTGGGGGGGATCGAACTCGCGACCCCCAGCCACGCGCGAAAAAAAAAAGAAAAGAAAAGAGAGAATTAAAACGAGAATGCTGGGGGCGGGGATCGAACCCACGACCCCCGTTCGCGAAAAAAAAAGGGATTAAAAGGGAATGCTGGGGCGGGGGATCGAACCCACGACCCCAGTTTGCAAAAACAAAAAAAAAGAATAACAAGGGGATGCGAGGCGTGGGGATCGAACCCACGACCTCAGGGCTGAAAGGGGGAGTACAAATATTAAGGGAATAAAGGTGAGGCTGTGGGGGTTCGAACCCACCACCTCACAGCCTCCATTGTCAACGAAATTAAGAGAAAAATAAGGGGGGTTGTGGGGGTTCGAACCCACAACCTCCCTATTCAAGCGAATTTAATTAAAAATAATAATAATAATAATAATAATAAATTAAAATTCTAATTAAAGTTGAAAAATTAATTCTCTTATGTAAACATTGAGATTTAATTTAGAATTTTAATTAAAAATAGAATATTAATTCTTTTATGTAAATATTGAGATTTAAATTAGAATTCTAATTAAATTAGAAAATTATTCTTTCATGTAAATGATTGAAATTTAATTTAGAATTCTAATTAAAATAGAAAATTTATTATGTCACGAAAATGTTGAGATTTAATTTAGAGTTCTAAATTTATGAATATTAGAACTAAAATCAATGAAAAATATAAATGATATCCAAATAATTCAAGATTTGGGTTCTCGTGTCCAAACCTCCGTATTGATACATAAGTCATACGTGAGTGAAATATTCAAGAATAATGTCATCTACTTAGATCAAAAATCAAAGACCTTGGCATATATACAAGATACATAAGTCTTGTAATACATAATCTTAGAAAAATAAGAATCACTTAACGAACTATAAATGAAGTCCCATGGCTTGTATGTATACACACATAAGTTTAACATACGTTCAAAAATAAGTGGACCTAAGATATACGTAATGAAATGAAGAATGTGGTGACAACCATGATGTGAGGCTAATGTATATGATGAGAGCAATCTCAAATGAGCCTAAGTAAATGTTACTAATACGTACTTACCAATGTGAGTGTGAGATAATGAAGAGACCAGTCTCTATGAATACTCTAATAAAAATATTGAGTTTAAAACACTTAATACTAATGATGAGATGAGAAATCATCTATTGAGCTATGATGTCCTCATACTAGAAGCCAACTTCTATGATGTATGAGTTGAATGTAATGGAACTTTATACCGAGCACCGATAGGCTAGCTATGAGTGGTGATGCCTTCTTTCGGGAAGGGCGGAGGTTCACGTAATTCTCATGAGATGAGACTGTCCGGCTTGCCGGGTATGGGTCTCCATACATCTCCTAGTCTTTGAACCTATATTGCCACTATAGGGATCTGGCGGGGTTAAATTCCCATATACGCTAGCATGTTATTGAATCGCTTTGGCCGGTGATTCCACCTCTTTTCAGTGTGGGGGAGACACTGGATTTCATGATGCTCACATGATCTATGTCGGTTAAAGTTAAAGTTCCCAATGAATAAATGAGGCCAGCCTCAAATGAATCATATAAAGAGATGAATGATACCGAAGGTGTTAGGATAGGATAATCAAGAGGCGAGCTAGATTCAGGTAATGACATTAGGTTATTCTTGATCATTGCACAGCAAACCCGATGAAAATCTTAAACTACGTCCCAGGTATAACTGGTGTTCGCACTGGCCTATGAATGAATTGAAATGAAATATGCATGAATGAATGAAGCAGACTCTGTGTTTGCTGAAGAAGGCTCCCTAGTTGAGGTCCCATATGTTGAGCCCTCATTTTGGAAAGTCTTAAGGTTAAGTTTATGATAATAAGGTCTCATGGTATATAAATGAATAATATGAAGGAAACTATGTGTTATATGTTATGTGCTATATGAAGATGTTATGTGTTGCCTGCAACACGATGATTATAATGATGCATGTCACTCTCATGGCATAACTTTCCTAATCTCATTTTATCAAGTCCACTGACTTGACTTCCAGACATCATGTTGTTAGGAAAGAGCTCTTCTTCCTCATGCATGTCCCTGGTGTGTGCTTGCATATGCCCATACTTAGTACAAGTGTGTACTAATTCCATACAAACATCTACTTTTAGGTGCAGGCACAGGTGGACGGTAGAGCTACAGGTTCTTTGTTGCAGCTATCTGGACGTCAGCATTCATCCGGAGTTTGGTAAGTCCTCATGCCTTCGAGTATGCTATTGTTTTACATTCTAGCGTAGTTTTAGAGTTGAGCTAGTGGAGCATGTTCCACTAGCGTTTCTTTCCTGTTTTGGTTCAGACTTTGTATTGGTGCTATTTTGGTCGATATACAATTAATATTTAATGAATTATTTCTTTCAGTTGCTTATCTCTTAAATGTTAGATGGTTGATGATGAACGATTACGAAATATAAAGAATGTTTAACAAGTATGATAAATGAATCAAAAAGTTTAAATTTTTCGCTAAAATTAATCTATGTAAAGTAAGAATGACGTAAGTAGGCTTGTTTGCGACCTCTGAGAGATCAACGACGCCGGTCTCGTCTGGGGTCTAGGTTCCGGTCGTGACAGCACACTCCCCTCCCTCATACATATGATTTCTTAAGTGACACTCCCAGTCCTTCGGACATTCCTATGTATCGTTCTATTCTTGAGTCAGGTATTGCTCCCTTGGATGCTACTTCACAACCTGCACGGCACCCCACCCGCGGCCAGGACACCCATACCACAGCTAGCCCGCAGCCTACCCTGCCTTCCCCTTCCCCGCAGCACACTCGCGACCATACCCAGCAAACCGCGACCCTCCTGCAGCAAGGCAGTGGCAACCTACCTCCTGTACCCGCTGCTAATGCCGAGCTGCACTCCCACCCCAGCCAACTGTGCACTCCACCTGTCAACGTACAGCAGGGGCTGCACCCTTTTGTACCCGCTGCCAATGATAGGCAACCACCACCTTTTGCCATCACATCATTCTCTTCCCACTCCTCTCAACCATCGCATTCCATGAACACCCGTAGTAAACATGGAATTTTTAAACCGAATCCTAAATACCATGACCAGGCCAATCATACTACTACCTCCATATCACCCATTCCGAAGAACCCTGTTCAGGCCATTCGTGACCATAATTGGAAAATTGCTATGCAGGAAGAGTATGATGCTCTTATTAAAAATGGTACTTGGGATTTAGTCCCGCGACCGTCTGATGTTAATATTATTTGGTCTCTATGGATTTTTCGGCATAAGACTAAGTCTGATGGTTCTTTTGAAAGACATAAGGCTCGTCTTGTTGGTGACGGTAAGACACAGAGGGAAGGTATTGACTGTGATGAGACTTTTAGTCCGGTTGTTAAACCGGCTACTATTCGGGTGGTGCTTAGTATTGCTTTATCCAAGTCTTGGCCAATTCATCAATTGGATGTTAAAAATCCTTTCTTACATGGTAATTTAAATGAGACTGTTTACATGTACCAACCAATGGGGTTCAAGGATCCTAGTCGACCTGATCATGTTTGTCTTCTCCGTAAGTCTCTCTACGGTCTCAAACAAGCCCCCCGAGCTTGGTATCAAAGGTTTGCTGATTTTGTGGCGTCCATTGGATTTTCCCATAGCAAATCTGATAATTCATTGTTCATTTTTTGCCATGGTACTGAAACTGCTTTTATCCTACTTTATGTTGATGATATTATCTTAACTGCTTCTTCAGAATTTCTTAGGCTTCGAATTATTTCTCGCCTTGCATCTGAATTTGCTATGAAAGACTTGGGTCCACTGAGCTATTTCTTAGGTATTGCTGTCTCCCGGGACAAATCTGGTTTATTTTTGTCTCAAAAGAAATATGCTCAGGATATTATTGCTAAAGCAGGTATGACTTCTTGCTAACCATCTCTTACTCATGTTGATTCCAAAGGGAAAATGAGTTCTTCATCCGGCGATCTTTATGAGAATGCTACTCACTATCGTAGTCTGTGTGGGGGTTTGCAATATTTGACTTTTACTCGTCCGGATATTTCTTATGCCGTTCAACAGATTTGTCTGTTTATGCATGCTCCACGGGTTGAGCATATGAATGCTTTAAAGCGTGTTCTTCGCTATGTTCAAGGTACGCTTAACTATGGTTTGCACATGTCTAAGTCATCTGTTAGTTCCCTTTTGTCCTACACGGACGCAGACTGGGGCGGGTGTCCCGACACCTGTCGTTCTACGTCAGGTTATTGTGTGTTTCTAGGTGATAACCTGATATCTTGGTCAGCAAAATGACAACCAACTCTGTCTAAGTCTAGTGCTGAAGCAGAGTATCGTGGGGTTGCAAATGTAGTCTCTGAATCATGTTGGGTTCGAAACTTACTTCTCGAGCTAGGTTTTCCTATTTCCAAGGCTACATTGGTTTAGTGTGATAATGTAAGTGCCATCTATCTTTCCAGCAATCCGGTACAACATCAACATACCAAACATATTGAGATGGACATACATTTTGTTCGTGAGAAAGTTCAACGGGGTGAGGTTCGAGTACTACATGTACCATCTCGTTATCAGCTTGCCGACATTTTTACTAAAAGTCTCCCTCGGATATTATTTGATGATTTCTGGCACAGTCTCAACATTCGTAAATCTCCCATTTCGACTGCGGGGGTGTGATAGATTATGGAAATAATCTATTTATTGTACAATATCTTTTGGTAAATATTCTAATTAGTTGTCATCTTTTATATTTAGCAATTATCTTTATAATTGATTAGTATCTATGTAATTGATAATAATCTCTGTAATTATCTCTTGCGTAAAATTAGGCTTGTACACTTTTGTATATATTGATTATTCAGTGAATGAGAATGACACGGCAAACATTCTTTCATATGTGGTACAAATGTAATTGTTGATACATAACTCAATTATTTCAAGTATAAATCCATATAAATATATGATACATAACTTACGTGTATTGTTTGCTATATATCGAATGAAGGATCAATGTATTCGCGAGTTCTGAGAAATCCGGAACTATTGTAATTTGAGAAATTTTTGGGATAGAATATAATTAGCACCCAAATTGTTAGGGTTTCTATACTTTATACATATAATGTTGTTATTTTATGGAATAAGACTTCGGTTATTTCCATATCTAATCGATTACAGTAAGCAAAAGAGATTTAGAAGGATAGGATGTGATTCAGTGGTCAAATAATATCGATTCCTCGGAGTGTAACTAATTTTATTATTGATGATGACGTGGACTTGTTTTCAAGAATTAATGTGCTGTGGAATTGTAGAGGAAACATATGTCAAAAACAATTAGAGAAGTAGTCGCATTATTTCCTTTAGTTGATAAAGAAGATCAATTTTGTGTAATATTTAGAGTTCGCTATATGGAATAAGGATAAATAATATTAGTGTGTTAAGACAATGTTATATTCATCGTTTAGTATTTTATTGATAAGACAATAAAATTATAAAAAATTGGATTTATGATTGCTTAAAAATTTTAAGTCACTATCTTATCTTATTTTTTAGTAAGCGAGCCTAATCGACACTGTGAATTCAATGAATTCAATTTAACTTTAGTCTAAATCTATAGATATATCTTTTGTACTAATCATGATTAAGTAATACTGTATTTGTTATCACCTTAATTTATTGCTTAACGCCTTAACCATTATAAATTATAAATTAATGTGATTTTGATGCAGATGCTCTATTTTACAACTAAGAAGTGGTTGACTCTCGTACATATCGTGTATTATTGTGTTTTTATTCTAGTGATTCACAAATGACGAAAATTTCTTTTTTTTTTTCTTATTTCCTATTCAATGCATAAAATCAAAATTCTAACCTTCCCTGACCACAATTTTTTAATAGGTATTTCACTAGATGAAAAAAATTTCGATTGTAACGATTAACATGTTCCCGAACTCACTTTTACAAACCAAATTATGATAACAAGGCAACACTGCTTGCACAAATTTTACATACACCGCAGTGAAGGGTGATAACTTGATAAAAAGTAGCATTCGAAGGAATTTTTATGCATGCCATTGTGGTGCAGCAAGCAGAAGAGCTCAAGCAAAATAAGTCACAAATGGCATTCAAAGAGCTTGAGAAGAAGGCTTACTGAGCTTTGATTGTTTTAAGTTCATGTATGACACTTTTTCTATACCTAAAACCTCTACTAGCACAAAATGCAACAACCCTGGGATCATTGTTGAGACTTGAAAGAGGAGCAAAGGCTGAGGATGACAAATTAGGCAGTGATAATGACATTGAATAATCTCCAGATCCTACTAATCACTCGGTATTTATACTGGTGAGAGGCAACAGGTAACTGGTGGAATAGTCAAGGTACACACAAGCTGACCTGAACACCGCTAGTATAAAAGAATGATCTACAGGTGGGTGGGTTTGCTGATAGAGACCATCAATGTGTGGACACATGCATTTGAGTCGATACATAATACTCAAGCTAAAGATACTGATGAGGTGCAATAGACGTTAGCTTGAGAGACAGCGAAACACACACTGGAAGGAAGAAATAGTGTTGACTTGATGTATATATAGAATTCATCGAAAACCTGGTAATGCAGATTTTCTGAAGAGTGAATAGCAAAGGTAATACCTTTCTGACAGAGTACGGTTGATGAAAGTGGTGACAGCGCTTTGATTAATTTTGTGCAAGACAAGCTACTAAGGTTTGTTATCAGAGAATGTTATCAGTTTATAAGAGATTTAGCTTCCACACTGAAACAATCATCCGAATGCAGGATGAGTGTGCTCAATTTTTTAACAAAATGCTCCCTTGTGCAGCAATTTCTAACTCCTGCCAAAATTTAATCTAACAGTTGCCAAATTCTGAAATATATTCTTACCCCTAGTTGTTAAAAAGGAGAAATAATGTGGTCTATACATGAAGCTTCCAGCTCTGTAAAAACCAATAAATGACTACTTGAGATAGGAGATGGTTGCTTACTTGAATGTAACAAGATTAGTAGGACTTATTTTTTAAATTAGGGAGGACCAGACAATTTGCCAGTCAACCAGGTAAGCCGCTTCCCAACGTTGAGAGATAAGAAAATCTCCCTAGCTGCATGATTGTTGAAGAGATCCAAAGCAGCATAATATACTTGGTCATTGACACCTTCCAATTTATCCAACGCTTTAATACAGTCGGTTATGGTGAACTTGTCACTGCACTTCTCAACAGCAGAAGCTCTAAGTCTTGAAGCAGCAGCCATCTCTGATATAGCTCTTGCAATAGCACCATCAACCCCCTTATGCCTTTTCTTTCGAACAGTATCAGTAGGTGAGCTCACAGATTGAACGATTTCTTGCTCATTGGAATCAGGACCTTCTTCAGACTCTGAATATGACAACTCTTCCTGGGACAGTGTAGGAGGTTGAGGATGAGATGATGAACCGGGAAGACGGTCCTTGTGCATAGTAGATCCATTATCTGTACCTCTACTTCCAGAATCTGCAAATATCACACTCAGTCCCTTGTAAAACGGGCAGCCTGTGCTCCTTATGGTCTCCACATCTGGATGTTCCTGATTAGTACATGTCAAGGGGGGTTTTGTGATGGATGATTTCTATAAGAACAATATAAAGACCTTGGCATGAAAAACATAGATATCGTAAACTGCAATCCATCAATAAATCACTTTGGTGATCCATCAATGAATTACTTAAGCATTGAAAAAGGATGTTTCATTCACAAGAATCTTCTGGAATTCGGAGATATAAGAAAATAAAAAAGGAAACCAGAGTTCAACTAGCAAACAGAAAAGTGTGTCCTAGCAGTTAAAGTAACAGAAAATGTGGGAACACACCTTCATGTACCGATCCCAAGCTTCATCTGTTGCTGTCACTAAACCTGTAGTTTCATCCCATTTGAAATCAGTATGATCAAGTAGCAATTTCATAGTAGCAAAAAGCTTTCTTAGTGCAGCATATCGATACTTCAATTGTTCCCTCTCCCATGTAAGACCGGTTCTTTTATGAAACTCCTCACAAATACATTTCCAACCTTTCTTGCTAAAAGACTTGTTTTGTTTATGCCCTCCTTGAACTTCGTCTACCATCAACCCCACCAATATTATAGTAAGAGATGTTGTCCACTTAGCTCTACACTGGGATTCTCGCTGCTGCACAGTTACCTGTGTTTTCAAACGTGTCGACCTCCCAGCCATCTATTTGATTGAACAAAAGTACAATTATTAATTAGAGCAGTTTGCGCCTTACCATGACAAGCAAGAACAATTATTAATTACAGCAGTATTGTGCCATACCATGACAAGCAAGAACAACTCAGAGATAACAGAACTTCAAGCTTTGTTTTTCATCTCAAAGCAGGCATTCAAACATCCAAGTAATCTTCAAAGATGAATACACGTATAACCAAAGACACTTGCATTGAGAATTTAGTATTTATGTAAAGATTTTGAGGCGTTATCCAACATGACAACATGAAGTTTATATGAAAAAGGAGAAACGGTATCCTCTAGTTAACAAGAAATTATGCTTCAAACACTAAAGAATACCCTCTTCTCTTATGTACCAAACACTAAAGAATATACCCTCTTCTCCCATTTCCTTAAAGTTTCAATTTTTCATGCATACACAGATGCAAATGAACCAATTACCGTTCGACCTATCACAACAATTAGCAATTTCACATTTGTTAACTCAAAAACACTAAAATATATAAATTTTTTCCACAAAGGAATAAATATCTAAAGGTCTATCGACATTGCTCAATAGTCAACAAAGTGATTTGAGAATTTCAAATCGCAAGAGATACAAAAACATTAGACGATTTATTTTCATCGGTCATACATAAACAGACCAACCAACATTAAAACAACTTCATTGTGGCCACTTGTATAAATCTCGTCTGACCACTAATCACGCGCCAAAAGTTAATCCAATTCGATTTTAAACTTGATAAAATTCTAAAATTTCCAGTTTATACAATTCAAATTGGTGAAAAAAAGAGAGCCCTAGAAATTACGAAACAGAAGAGAAATTTTGTGATCTTTTATATGTGAAAAATGCAGACGAATAAATAATTAAAAAAGTATACATCGAACAGAGAGAATTTACCTCTGAGGAAACTGCTGCTGTAAAAACTGACCTACTTTCGTTACAGTAAACAACTGGATTTTCCCCTAATTCACAATTTCCGTCATCCAAACACGGCATAGCCCTTTTTCTCCTTGTGCATACGTGATCAAGAGAATATATTTTTATTTATAAATCCAAAATCTTCTAGCAATTTGCACTTACACCCCCTAACCTTTGACAGTAGTGCAAATATTCCGAGGTAACTTCTTTTTTTTCTAGAGATTTCCCGCTAGATGTTTGATTTTCATATGGAAGCTTAACTAAATTCGTTTTTATCTGAAAATCTTACATTGGGGTCAAGCGTGCCATAACAAAGGAGAATTCGTACTAAAAAGACTCGAACTCGAAATCTGAACTCATATTAGTAGCCGAGGTTGGTTTTTACTCTTTCCTATTTCGGATCGAGATTTATCTTAAATTCTATCTTTTAATTTATAAAGTAAAAATATACTATATTTGACATTTAAATGTCAAATATTCACAAAGTTATTATTCTGAAGTGTTTGATTTGTTTTCTCCCCAGTTGTGTTTTCCGACTTAACTTTAACATTTGTCACGTGGGACTAAGTCCATAAACAAAGTAATGAAATATCTCTTTTTTTCTGAAAGCATCAAATTGATTTATATATAATAATTGTGAAACGTGTACCTGAGCAAAGAAGCACCTACGAAAATACTTTGAAAATCCAAATTAGATATTTAAAACTATTTATATAATTTTGTATTATTTTAATGTGATGAAAATTACAGATGCTGATCAAAATTTACATAGTTTGACTTTCGAAAAGAAATTTGTGACTAAGTAAAAACGCAAGGAGGTAGCGTACAATTATATGCTCTCATTACTTTGACTTAGAACGGTTAACCACTCAAAATTTGTAACTAACAAAAAGGAGACATGGAAAACAAGCCACTTATGAAAGGAATAACAGTATTTTTAATGGAAGACTAACCAGTTTGTTCTTGATATAATCGTGGTATTTAACTAGCTTCTGAGTACAAGTAACTTTATCCGCCAAGACTTCAGGTAAAATGGATTTTTTTTAAAAAACACCTGGTATTTTGTCTCTGCTGTAGTTTGTCCCTGCTCTCCCATTATTTTCAAGTGATGCATTAACCGCGAGATCACATCCCTAGCTTTGAAGATTAACCACTTTAACGCAGCATGCAGTACCAACAACAGAAAGAAAAAGAAGGGGGGAGGGGGATGCCTGGTTTATATAGTACCCCTTTGGCAAGGTTCAGCAGGCTGCAAAAAGGTGGACAGACAAAAAGTAACATGATATATCTACTAACAAAAGAAACCTCCACAACTTGTAGCAAACATGCCTGCAACCAAATTCACTATTTTAAGCAACCATTTATAATCAACCAATTCAAAGAAATAACACAACTTTGGCCTTCTACATATAAATAGCCTTTGCCATTCTTATGTAGGTGGCATAAAGAATCAGTCTTATTTTGTACCGTATTGAGTTCACAAGCCCTGAGGCAAGTCAAACAAGCTGTTGAGGAGGCCACAAAGAAGGACAAAACAGTGCCTGCAGCACCTCCAAGGATGCATTTCCATGATAGTGACATTCAAGTACACAACAACAAACCTTATTCAATTATAAAAATCCCATAATGGTTAAACTTTCTCACACTCCCCCCTTCCGTTGTTTCTTCTTTTTACGATTTTATTCCCCTTTTACCTTCTTGACGGGTTGTGATGCTTTTGGTTTTGCTGAACTCCAAGGGAATAACTTGGCAGAAAAAGATGGTCCTCCTAATGTTTCTTTGCACACATCCTATCTACTTGATAATGCAAAGAAAGCAGTTGAAGCTCTTCGCCCCAGCATAGTCTCATGCACATATACTTCAGCCTTTGTTGCGATAGATGCACTGGTGATAATAAATTTCCCCCTATGATAAGCAGACAGAAAACATATAAAGAGGACAGCAATGCAGTATATCAGTTCCTTCTAATATTAATTACTCTAGGATGCCCAAAAAAGTAGATAAATGGTATGACAATTGACAAAGTCATACACATTATAAAATGGGGAAAATTAGTGATTTCCTATTAATTAGTGATATCGCGCATTAAAGTTATTTCTTACTTTTTGCCATGGTATTACCAAAACAGGTAAACGCAATCAATGTTATATTCTACCAGCTTAATAAAGTTGATTTGCTCTGGTGGGCTTAGTGAATATGCCTGAAAAAGAAAAGAAGGGTGAAAATCAAAAGCTAGTGAAACAACACAGCTGCCAAGTCCAGCATTGAACAAATCGACTTCAACAAAGTTTCTCTCGGAGAGATCTATCAATTGAAGACTTTGATGGCTCTCTCGGGTGAATATGACAAAGCTCCAAATCTCACATGGTCTACTCTATCTCTAGAGTCTAGGGGTTTTTTTTCCATTGCTCATCATGCAATAAATGGATACACAACTTCAATACCACCTATGACATTACATTACACCCAGCCTTTGCAGCACTCTTGAAGAACAGATATTCACTGAAACATGGGAAGAACCATAGATCCATCATTAACCACCTTTATAATAATATATAACAAGCTAATTCTCCGGTGGAAGAGCTTGTTTAATTCAGAACAAGCTTTATTTAAGTACTCCAAAACTAAAGATATGGTTATGATTTTACTAGCTCAAAAGCACATTTCTCCAAAGTTTTTTCCAATTCTATGATCAAAGATGAGCAGCCTTACAGGAGGTGACAAGGTTAAAAAAAAATTGTATGACAGTTAACTGATTAATTCAAAGTTAATTCTACTTTTATCTATCATTCCCTGTATTATTATAGTTCATTATATTGAAGACAATAATAAGAGGAAATAGTGGCTCTTTTCATAAGACCTTGCTGCACTAGTCACTTCTATTTAGTTGATCACGAGTTGTTGCATTGAAACCTGAACTATTACAAATTATGGTATCATTTAAAATGTAAAAAATAAGAGGACAGCAGCAAAGATTTTTAAAAATGCCATATATTTAAGTAGTGGATCACTGACTTACAGTGGAGGAAGTAAAATACATCAGCAGAACCTAATATTTGGCACCATCAAGCTTGAATTCAGTTACATCAGTTCTTTCTCGTCTCCGTTAGCTGTGTCCAAAACAATCTCAGCCAATTGAATGTTACCACTCAAACTAGACGTCTTGTAAGATGGCATAAATGAGAACCCATCAAGAAGCTTAACACACTTCAGGCCCCATTTCACCATTAAGAATCCAATTAGGTGATGCCCGCTACACATGGTTTAAATCAATTAGAGGAAACATCTCCCTCAGAAGTTGGATCATCTATACATCTGAATGAGCTAAGTACACAAGAAAAGAGTCCTTAGCTGAACCTAAAGCAAGAAAGAAGATAGAAATGTACCTTCTGTTGTGATATGTAGTAATAAAAACGGAAGATGGACTACTCTGGAGTAAAAATGCCACAGTTGCAAAAAGATCATCAAAAGCTTGGTAACCATGCAAGATAGACATTTCAACTTCAGTAGACAGGTCCAGAAAAGAAGGAAAGAACAAGATAAATAAAGATAATCCTACCACAACTGTCATATAGGACATCAGCTCCAAGGATAATGTTTGGGCACAGACAGAAGGTTTGTGTATCCCACACACCCCATGTAAGTCCGTGTATCTAGAAGATAAAATTAAACACTTCAATGACAGCATGGGCAATGTGAAAATGAAAGACCTCAAATAGATATCTTGCACAAAATAAAGGCAAGAAAGAAGATCTTAACACCTAGGGAGGAGACACGCATAGAAACTATTGTTGTTCCAAGGCTTTTGTATGCTCTTAGATACTCAAGTAAAATGGACACAGTTTAACCCTTCAACACAAAATGCATCATGTGGAATGAGAATTTGCATATATAGAGAACAAAAGCATGCAGATTACCTTGCACTTGATATCATTTAACTCGCACTGTCTTCTCATATGAGTGAGCACCTGTATATTAACAGACAAACAGTTCTAGTAAAACTGAAGTAAGTATCTTGGTGAATACATGGGGTTTCAAGGTGCTGAGAAATAAATTCTTCAAAATGTTTGAGACATTCTTACTCAGGATTGGTAATTTCTAGCCTACCTACTAGCATCGATTGTTTAGTAATACAATGACATAAATCACTACTGCAATTTCAGATTGTTGATCACTAATACTGAAGCAACATGAGTGTGTGAGACTAGGGTCAATGGCAGCTATATTTCATATAAAGCATCCCCAGGACAAATTCTACAAGTTAAAACCCAGAACAGTCCAACAGTTTCTGTAAGCATATTACTTCGAGTTACCAATATTGTTATGGGCACGCAGATTTTTCATGACAATAAAGGCCTCAAAATACAGCATTCTGTTGTGTGATATTATATGCCCAGTTCTTGAACTCAATTTAGATTACCAGTAATATAGATATGTAACATATCCATAGTTTATCAACGCGGTTCAAACATTGTTTCAAGGGCTATGATCAAATAATGAAGTCTCAATACAGTGTCTACTGTAAAACTAGTATCAAAATCAGACCTCTGATCTGTTAGAATCGTCAGTCAGCGTCACATCTGCACCCACTTTTGCAGCAACCAGCCCAGGCAACGAGGTCCCTGCCCCAAGCTGCAACCCATATGATAAATTAGAAGTAGATAAAGCACAAATCAAACTAAGAATAAAACACAATACGCAAAACAGGCAACAAACACTGCTAAGCTTCAATATCAATTTGCAACAAAGTCATATAATTTTCAATAACAGAAAGAACAAGTAATAGAACAAAGCAAATTGTGGTTCATTACCTCAACCACAGATGCGCCAGTAAAGCGCGACTTTTGTTGCCATACGTACTCAGCTAGAATAATACTGCAAGGCCATACGAACAAACCGTACTCTTCTTTCATGTTCTAGTTACATGCCAAAAGGAATTAGCTGTGATGAGTCCTTTCGTCCTGTGTCGCTAGCTTTTGAAACTGTACATAATAGAGCTGTGAATTAGAGAGATATAAAAGAGAGGAAAGACCTCGATAATGGTGACGGAGAAGCCATCGGCGGTGTCTTCGGAAGTCCCGAAATGGTGGCGAGAAAAAGTAGTCATTACTTCTTCAGCCGGAGATGTACCCGCCGGTTCGCCGTCGTCCCCGTTAGCTACCATGCCGCCGTTGGGAACCTGTACTTTGATGTTTTACAAATTTATCCCTTTGATTTGCAACACTTTTTCTTATGCGCCTAGGAGTAAATTAGAAAGAAGAAACTTTTGTACATATTGCCCTCAAGGGTGTTTAATTTTTTATTTTTCTATATTAAATGCTTAATTATTATTTTTGGGTTACTAGATCTTATAAAACAACATTATGTGTAACTGAAAATTTCTTAATCACATCATTTATTTTTAGAAAAATATATGAGTTGGCTATTCGGTAAGATGATTGAAAATTTTTGATATTTTATATTATTTATGGATTTTTATGTTTATCGAAAAAAATACAATTTAAAAACTTCAAATTGAATGTCCAATAAAAACTTCAAATCATTATTTTATATTGCATATCCAACACGTCCATAATGGGCATTTGGTCATGCAAATCATATATTTTTCATTTTATTTGAAAATTTTAAAATTTAATTTGTGTTTGATCGTACTCACTAAAAAGAGTTTTTAGTATTTAAATGTACTTTTTCTTGATATAAGTTATACTATCAAATTACAAAAAAATTAGCAAAATCACTTAACTTGATTACCTAAAAGTTTAAAACATGTATATAATAAATGTTGATATAGGTTGAAATATAAATAGTAATATCATAAATTGAATCTCATGTACGAACTACTACATACCATTATAAATATTCTTTACTTTATTTAAAAATTTTGAAGTTGGAGTTGAAGATGGTTTGGTTATAACTTTTACAAATAATATTATTTGAATATATTTTTCTTGTAAAAAATAGTTTAAATAAGTTCATTTTTATATTAAAAACAATTAAAAGGACAAAAATTGAATAAAATATTAAAAATAATAAAAGTGAAAACGATAAAAAGAAATATAATCTTTTATATTTTCATAATCAAACGCTAATTTTTAAATAAAAAAATATAATTTTGAGAAGAAAAAACCCAAAAAATCATGACCATATGGGTGGTTTCAAATTTCATTATTATAGTCGGTATCAAATATTTAAGGGCAACTTTCACACATAGCAAATATAAAATTTGTATTCGTTTGTTACAGCAAAGTTTATATAATTGCACTTTATAACAAACATATAAATGTATAATTCGCTATATATATACAATTGAAGCGAATTGTATAAAACGAAGTGTATAAAACGAGAAAGAGAAAGAGACTTGGAAATGACAACGAGAGAAAGGCAAAAGAGACTTGGGAAGGGAATATACAATTGAATCGAATTGTATGAAATGAGAAAAAGAGAAATTTTATACAATTTGAATTTGTATAAAGCGAGAAAGAGAGAAAGACAAAAGAAACTGCGCAGAGGAGTATTTTTATTGTATAATTATAAGTGTATATGAAGAAACTATATGTATTTACACGTGTATATATAATTTCTCTCTTGCTTTATACAAACAGAAACGAATTTATACATTTCGCTTCAGATTGTGTAAGCAAGAGTGACGGCGAGATCTGGAAGATGGGAGAGAGGTGAACAAAAAATATATGTATTTATACAATTTTCTTTGTTTTATACAAATACAAACAAATTGTGTACACTTGTGTTTGTATAAAAGTGAGAGGAAGCGAGCGAGAGAGGAGATTGGCGAGCGAGAGTTTGAGGGAGAGAGATGACTGACAAACAATTTGCTACGAAACACAATTAAATCAAATGATGATTATAGCAATTAATTTGATCTATTAATTGTCATTATATATAATTTTTCCAATATTTAATTTATCAAGTATTGAAAGTAAAGATTCTTAGGTAAATTCAAAATTCTAGACATTACATGAAATTATAAAAATTATAATTTTATGTTATATGTAATTATTTCTTAAAAATAACAATTCTAATTGTTAAAATGTATAGAAAATAATCAACATTCTATAAAAAAAAAAAAGTTAAAGTGGAAAGGTAAAAAACGGAACTTTTAGTTTTTTCATGATCAAATAAAACAAAAAAAAAGAATAAAAAACGAAAAAATAATCTTGACCCAGATAGATGGATTCAAATTTCATTATTATAGTTGATACCAATATATCAAATATTGAAGGTAAAAAGATTATTAGATAAATTCAAAATTTTAAATGTTACGTAAAATTATAAAGATTACAATTTTATGTTATATGTAATATTGTAATTGTTTCTTTAAAATTATAATTTTAACATTCAAATTGTATTAAAAATGATTAATATTTTGTATTTATTTTTGTTGATCAATATTTCTTTCAGTGACTCCATATTTAACTTCTATATTAGTTTTTTGTTAGTCAAATATTAAATCAATTTATTAAAAAAAAAAACAAGACCAAATTCAAATGTCAAACTACATTTGTGAATCACCAAGTTTAAGTTCTTTGTATGTGTAGATTGTAGTTAGGCTCTTGTCACCTGTAGGAAGATCTTGAATTCATATAATACATGTTCACTTATAACTAGTTAATTAAATTCAAACAATTTAAATGAAAACGTAAAAGTTTATAATGATCGACACGTTATTTGTAAAATAAATCATGTGATATACAAACGCACAATTCAAGTGGAGATGACCTCGAACAGATCATCATAAATTTGGATTATCTGTTGGAAAATTTGTGAAAATGTCATTGTTCAACATGTGAAAAAATATTTTTTCAAATTTTAAATATTAGGAGGTAAAATAAAACTTATTTAAAAAAAATCATTTATCTAATCAAGTAATTAATTAGATAATTACAACTAACCTCTTAATACAATTAAACTTTATTGCTGTTTATCATTTGTCCGTCACTTTTTTTATAAAGAATATTTAGAATTTGAATACACATATTTTTGATATAAGTTATATCCCTAATCACTAAAAAATAGTAAAATTACCTAACTTCACTAACTGAATTTTTTATATATATTATATATAATTAAATTTGTTCCAAGTTCGAAATAGATAGAATACAATGTCATAAATTAAATCTCAAATACGGGGTACAACATATTATTATAAATTATTTTTTCGCTTTTTTTTTAAAAAAAAAATTGAAGTTGAAATTATGGATGATTTGGTTATAGTTTTTTTCAAATAATATTTGATTTTCTAAAAAAATAAAACACGGTTCCAATAAGGTTATGTTTTAATATATATATATATATATATATAAAGATAATAGTAATTAGAAAGTCCAAAATTTGAAAAAAAATAAATTAAAAGTAAAAAGTAAAAAAGAATAATTTTCTTTAATTATTTCTATGATTAAATACTGATTTTCGAATAAACAAAAGTAAATTTAAGAAGAAAAAATAAAAAGATATCTTGACAAAATGGATAGACTCAAATTTCATTATGATAGTTGGTACCAAATATTTGATTGATCAAAATATTGAATGTAATGATCCGTAGGTAAATTGAAAGTTCTAATCCTTACATTAAATAATAAACATTACATTTTTATCTTATATGTAATTACTTTTTAATTGCATTAAAAAGGATCAATATTTCTTAATTATTTTTATTAATCAGTTCCATAATTCAGTATTTAAATTTTTTAAGTTGATTCATTATTTCTTTTAAGTAGACTATTAATTCAATTTATAAAAGAATCAAATCAAACTAATATATCGAACTACTTTAGTGAATCATCAAGCTTAAACTCTTTGCATATAGATAGTAGTTAGGCTCATGTCAGTAGAAGGAAGATTTTATATTCACATAATGCCATGTCCACTTATTATTAGATAATTATATTTAAAATTTAAACGGAAACATAAAATGTTTATAGTGATCAACGTATCACTTATAAATGCTACATGACAATTTCAAATCACGTGACATATGAATGAATAATTTAAGTGGAGATGACCTCGAATATACCACTCTATATTTGGACTATCTGTTGAGAAAGTTGTAAAAATATTGTCATTCTACATGTGAAAGGATATTATTTTCAAATCTTAAATATTAAGAAATTAAAGTAAATTTACTTTTAAAAAAATATTTTATACAATCAAATCATTTATTGAATAATTACAAATAACCTCTTAATACAATTAAATTGTATGAGTATATTACCGTTCATCGTTTGTCAGACACTTTTTCAACAAAAAATATTAAGAATTTAAATGCATTTTTTTTATATATAAGTTATGTCCTAAATTACTAAAATCTATCAAAATCACTTAACTTGATGATTTGATAGAATGCAATGGCATATGTTCAATCTCGTATACAGACTACTACATATTACTTTTTTATTTTATTTGAAAATTTTGAGATTAAGCGAGTATGTTTTAGTTATAATTTTAACAAATAATATTAAAATTAAAATATAATTTAAATAAAGTTATTTTTAAAAAAAATAATGATAATAATAATTAAGAAGAGAAAATTTGAAAAAAAATTAAATGAAAGCGGAAGGTTAAAAAAAATGACCTTTCATATTCTTGTGATTAAATATTAATTTTCGAATCAATCAAAATAATTTAAGAAGAGAAACGAAAAGGTATCTTGACCAAATGGAGGGACAAAGATTTCATTATGATAGTTGGTGCTAAATATTTGATTTATTGAATATAAAAATAATTTTTATGTAAATATAAAATTTTAGACGTTATATAAAATTATAAAGATTACAATTTTATGTCATATGTAATTATTTCTTAAAAATTAATAATTTAACATTCAAATTGAATTAAAAATGATTAATATCCCATAAATATTTTGTTGACCAATATTTGATTTGGTGATTCAATATTTAACTTTAATATTGGTTCATTATTTATTTGAGCTAAATGTTAAATAAATTTATGAAAAAATCCAAATCAAACTAATATATTAAATCACATAAGTAAATCATCAAGTTTAATGTCTCTGTATTTAGATAGACTGATGTCACTAGGAAGATTCTGATTTCACATAATACCCTTTAATTATAGTTTTAGATAATTAAATTCAAAATTTAAATAAAAACGTGAAAAGTTATAGTGATCAATGCATTGTTTATAAATGCTACACGACAACTCTCAAACAGCGTAACGTATAAGCAAATAATTCAAATAGAGATGAACTCTAACACACCATCCTAAATTTGAATTATACAAGAAAATTATAAAATTATTATCGTTTAACACGTGAAA